CCCGACAAAAAACTCAGCAAGAACGAGATTCTGCGCCTGGCTATGAAATACATCAACTTCCTGGCCAAGCTGCTCAACGACCAGGAGGAAGAAGGAAACCAAAGGGGCAAAGTGAACAAAGACTCGGGGATAGTCCAGGAAGACCTCCTGCAGGACATGTTGTCCCCCAACTCCAGCTGTGGGAGTTCCCTGGACGGAGCGGCGAGCCCGGACAGCTTCACGGAAGAGCACGAGACGCTGGATTCGAAGCACACGCGGAGCCTGCACCACGCCATCCTCCCCGTAGAAGGCAACGCGCAGCGGTGATGACCCTCACGCTGCTCCCGAAGCGCCGCGGGGGAGAGGCCAGGCTTGGCTGTGCACTTGCTGGAACTTTTTGCTTGTGGGATTTGTGACTCTGCCTTTCCCTGGGAGCTCGGGCTGCCCGCTCGCCCCAGCCCATGGAGGAGCGGCCGGCACGTTGGCTGAGGACGAGACCAACCCAGATGAACGTTCGGGGTTTAGGTACGTGACCGTACAAAGAAGAAAAGCGTTGAAGTCATCTTCGTTGTACAGAACTGCTCGGGATGGGACTCTGAGGAGGGGAAGGAGACAGGGCTGGCACCTCTCCAGCGTTTAGAGGGTTTTCAGACCACTTGGTGAGCGTCTCTTTTCAAACAGTCATCTGGGTGAGGCATGGAACTCCTCTTTCACTGCCCACGGAAGCCACCGGCGCTTTCCAGCTCCACGTGGTGCTGGAAACTGCTGCATCACACCAGTGCTGCAGCACTTCTCCAGCCTGTGGCACATCCAGCTGGTCTGAGCAGGAGCCTGGCCACGTATTCCTGTTGTCAGAGAGTTTTTGACTGTATCTTTTTAAAGAGGTGAAAAAAAATACCCTCAGCAAAAGAACTATTAAAAGGATTTAGACAATTTCTTTTTCTCTCCTTTTTTCTTTCTTTATTTTTTTCCTTCCCTTTCTTCCTTTCTCTTCTATCTAATTTTGGATTGTTTGGGCTTGTTGTATTTATGACATGGGATTATTTCTGTTTAACACTGTCATGCAGTATCCACTGAATGAAAAGGTACATAGGTGTTTTCTGCCACCCTCCCAGTCCCTGATCCTCTGCTGGTAACACTCAGCAGGTGAATTTCAAGCCTGCTCTGGTCTCCTAGAGTTTTTCCAGTAGTTTCTGTGGGGCCAGAGCTTCCCTCAAGAAAGATGAGTTTCAGAGTTGGTAAGGGAAGAAAATACTTGCTAGTGAAGCATCTCTTTGGACTGGGGGATTTTTAAATTCAAAAAAGCAAAAAAAAAGGGAAAAAGGAGTCAATGATGTATCAACAATGTGCGTGTACATAGGGTTATAAAAAGGTTTTTTGATGGTATGCTTTGAATTTTTTGGTTTTATTGTGTGAAAATGGTGGTTCACCTGTGCCACTGCCCACAGTGTAGACAATAGTGCTGGATTTATTCTGGTCGAGCCTGGTCGAGGCTGGTGGGAGTCCACAGCCTCTCTGAATCTTGTGGGGAAGCAGTAAAATCACTGGTGGGGTTAGCCTCCATTCCCAAGTGCTCAAACTGCTGCAAAACTGAGCTCTGTGAGTGAGCTGATCCTCTGGTCCTGCTGCCCCCCAGGAGGGCGTTTGGGAAACAGGAGGAGAGGGGAGCAGGAGGCTGCTGCTGTGGTGGGAGCTGAGAACCACCCTGTGCCATCACTGCTGCTTCAGGCCCACCTCTCACCAACCCATCTCCCGAGGCCTGATGGAGCAGTTGCCCCAAACCCATCCTGTCCCTCTGCAGACATGTCAAGGCACAGAAATCCCTACCATGATACGATAGAACAAAAACCCCAAACCCACACACAAACATCCTTTGGAAGAGAATAAATCTTTCTGAGTGGGGGCATCTTCCACCACGCTCGTGCCTTCCCAAGGATGCTGAGGTACAAGGGAACACAGAGAATTTGAGTGGGTGTCTGCAAGCCCGTCCAGGCTTCATTCAGAGCCCTGTCATTTCCATCCCTGCTTGGTTTTGATGCCTCTTTGTAAATAATAGGTGAGAGTCTGGCATGTGGCTTGGCATGTCAGGCAGAATTAGTTGCCTGGGAAGGGATCCTGGCCCATGCAAGGATTTCCAGCATAGGATTTCCACCATTCCAAAAATTTCCCAGATTTTTGGAAAGCACCAATCTCCCCCATCTTAGACTAGGGAAAAGGATGAAAATTCTTGGCTCTGGATTTCCTGTGCATGGGGGTTTTCACTAGAGGGGGTTACCTGCAAGCTGGGCCAGGGCAGGCGCTGGCGGCTGAGGAAGCTGAGGAAGAGGTTTGGACTGGTACTGGTGCCAGGGGTAGGAAAGGCAAGCAGGGGGGGCTGCCAGGGGACCCTCGGGGGGGTAAGGGGGTGCTGTCACACAGGTAAAGCCGTTCCTGGTTCCCAAATAACCCTGGGGTGGGGTAGGTGGGGGTTTTACGCCCTTGTTATTGAACTGTCGCAAGAAAAAAATAAATAGTTCACTGATACTCAGAAATGCCTCATTCCACACAAACCCATTAGTCCTTGTTTGTATCTCCTCGGTAGCTGAACAGTTGGGAAAATGGTACAACCTTGTCAGCACCCCCAAATGCCCCCAGGCACACGGGCTCCTGCAGGGAGCGCCGCAGGTCCCCCGGGGTATGTACAGCTGTACTTTAATTGTGATTTGAATGGTACATTTCCTCTGCCCACCTCTCCTCCTGCCTGCTTCATCTCTCGCTGTGTGGACCATCATCCCCATTCCTGTTGGAAACAGCGCTCTGGGGCAATGTCGTACCGTGTGAGTGAATTCCTGCCTTACCAATTTTGGTTTTTTTCAGCCCCATCCCTTTCTCTGCCACCCTCCCCTTGGATTTCTGCATTTTTTCTGCAGAAATGAAGTAACCAGACCTGGTACCCTGAGTCTCAACTCACTGTGGATGTGCTATTTAGAAAACACATTTGTTGTAATGTGTGTGTATATATAAATATATATATATAATGAATATATCAAGAATATTTCTAAATAAAGTTTTACAAAGCAGCCTCCACTCGCTGTCTGCCTCTGTCCCACCCTACCACTTGCCTCCCTCATCAGTTCGGTGTTTCACCCCTGAGTGCCGTGGGGTGAAGACTCCAGCGTGACCCATTCCCAGCCAGCCAAAGACATAAACGGGCAGCAAAAAAAGTTGCAAAAGCATCTGCTAATTTGTTTTTTTTTTTCTCCTGGCTTGACTCACACCGTCCAGCCGGGTTGGGAGGAAGAGCGTGCGGGGCCAGCAGGAAGGAAGGCAGGCGATGAAGCAATGCCCCACCGCAGGCGAGCGTTACCAGCCGCCCCCACCTTACCCCAGCGTGCCACTTGCAGGTCCCCCAAAGGCTCCAGTGGCCTTTTCCCTTCTTTTGGCCAGGCTGACTGTGCAAGGAAGGGGCTGCTGGGGGCCATGCACTTCCCTCTGCGCCATGGCAAGCATGATTTAACAGGCGGTGAGAGCAATTCCTCTTTTTTTCTTCAGTAAGAAATTATCACAGCCACGTGCATAAGTGTTTTTAAAAATATACAGCACCAATTAGGGAGTGCTTATTCCTCTGGCTAAGCGGTCCATTGAATATGTGTGTGGTTTTAAATATGAATATTTATCTTATACATGCATACATATATATATATACTGAATATGTGTGTGGTTTTAAATATGTATATTTATCTTATACATATACACACACACACACACACACACATATATATATATATATATATATATATATACAGCACCATGCTGCTGATGCTGACACCACACCAAGCACAGAGCAGATGAGCAGGAATGGTGCCACAGGAATTTTCTTAGCTTTAGTTTCTATGAATTACAAAGTTGTCGCCTATTTTAAACAAATCCTTTAAAGCATCCCTTGCTTTATTAAAGTCTCCCCACAAAAGCTTAGCTGCTAACACCTCCTCCCCAGCAGCCTGGGAGCCAACACTTGCTTTTAAGGTTTCTAGGTGAATTTTCCCCAAGATGGAAGAGGGGACCCTTTCTCAGGCTCCAGAGGGGGGGTGTGGGGAGCCCTGTCCAGACAGAGCCCCAGACGAGGGACATGGGGGTGTCCCCTGCACAGCCAGGCTGAGCACAGCCCCAGCAGCCAGGACCAGGCTGGTTTCACTGCGGGCACTGGGACAAAGCAGGTGTGGGCAGTGTGTGGCTGCTGGGTGTTTATCTGCAGCTGGGAGATCACGGCTGTACATCTGGTTTAACCCCCGTCTCCCGTTGTGCTGCCAGCCCAGCAAGAACTGATAGCTTGCCCACCGGTTATCTCTGCCTCCCACCTCCTGCCTCTCTCCCTCCCTCCTTCCATTGCCAGGACAATTCTCCTTTCACCTCCCCCTTCTGCTTTTTTGCTTTCTTCAAGTAAAATATCCTCGATGGCCGCAAGTATTTTGCAACCTGCGAAGGAAAAAACATCCTTAAGGGAAAAAACACCTGCAGGGTGAAGGCTTCAAACAACTCTGTGTACATTTATAGGGTCTATAACCTAAGGAAAGGGCTGAGAGGCTTCCAGTGCCACCTGCTCCGTGGTGGAATGGTCAATGTGCATCACTCCTGGTTGACCCCAGTGGTGGGGAGACCCTGGGTGCTGCTTTGCTGGGATGGGATCCAGGGTTGTGTCCTCAGGTGGCGGCTTCATGTTGGAAAGAAATATCTTTCTCCCAGCATCTTTTTCTCCTGAGCATCTGGACCTTGTTGCTGCTTGGCCACCAAAATACAGATGTCACAGAAGGTAGCAGACATTCACCTGCCTTCGTGTTTCTTTTTAAAAGTAATTTTTGAAAGCCCTTCCCATTCTTTCAATTTCCAATGGAAAATTTAATTAATTTCTCATCAAATGGTAATTTCTTTTGACAATCATTTTGTGTTGCAAAAGCTGATGTGTAATGCTCTGTGAATTCAAATATATGGGGCAAAAACCTCAACCCAACCCATTTTTTTTCCTCTGTTCATGCAAAACAGAAAAGAAAGCTGGGGAAAGCACCCTGAGGTCCTGGCTCCCACTGCACAGAAGGGATTGGTGCAGCAGGGGAGAAACAGCCTGGGTGCCACAGGTGGCATTGTCCTCAGCTGGGACAGTGCTGGGGCTCATCCCTCACTGGTGGCACCGCAAGGTGATGGGGGTTCTGGTCTGTAGGGCAGGAAATTTTCTGGCAAATAGAGGTTTCTTCACAAACTTGAAACAGATGCATTTAAAGGTGTTTTGTTCATCCAGTTTTGTAATGTGTCCCAGGAATTCAGAGACTTTCAGGCTTCCAGTGGCAGAAAATTTCACTTAAAACCATATAGATGACACTGGGGAGTGAGAACAGTGGAGACTTGACATTGAGATAAAATCGAATTAAAAACCAGAGAGGAGGTGGGAGGATTGCATGTATCCAAAATGATGAAACAAGAAACACAAAACCCCCAAATCACCCCAAATTTGGGCAGCTACTATTTTTTCCAGTCTCATTATCTGTTTTTAATTACAGCCTTTCTGGCAAAGCCGTGTTGAGGGCAGCCTGCACCGGCAGCCCTGCCTGGGAACACCGCCGAAGCCAGGAGCAAGGACCTGCTTCATTAAGGGCATTCCCACATAATTGAATCAAATATTCTCGCGGAAACGGCAGGACCCAAACGTTCCCACCCCGGCAGCCGATGAGAAAGCTTCTCCTCTTCGCTCTGACAGGCGAGGTGACAACAGGAGGGAATAATTTATGTCTCTCTGGGACTGCTCGGTCTGCCCCTCATCCCGGGGCTCATCCCTGACATTCCCAGCGCCGCACAAAGGCTGCAGCCGGCCGGCGGTGCCCAGGGGACACCGAGCTGTCACCCGCAGCCAGGAGATGGGCAGCGAGCAGGATCCTCTCCCTCCTCCCAATCCTGTTCTTTCTCTCTGGTCCTCCTGCCTCTCCTTTCACCTTACTTCTCACTCCCCATTTTTTATTTTTTCTCTTAGTTTCTATCCCAAAATTGGGATGGGAGAGCAGGGCTAGGGGTGGATGGGAGAGGATGAGGATGCTTTGAGACCACAGGGGCCGCAGTCCTTGATGGGGATGCAGGAAACCTCCTGGGGGTGGGTCCAACAGGCACTTTCAAACTTGTCCCCCCGGTAGACATTCCTTTTCCCCTGCTCTTGGAGCTATTTTCAGCCGTCCCAGTGACCTTTCCGGGGAACAATTTACTATTGTGTTTTGGTGAAGCCCAGCCTCTATTTTTACACTCTGTTTTGCTGATGCGGGCACAGGGAGAGAGACGGGAATCCAGCAGGAAATGGGAGGGAGCGTCTGGAGCATGCTTAAAGCTGCCCCGGCTCTTTGATGTGCGAACCCACGTGGTGGGGCCGG